CACACAAACATATATATATATATATATATATATATATATATATATATATATATATATATATATATATATATATATATATTTTTCTATAAATATATTTTTTTTTTTTTTTTAAAATATATATATATATATATATATATATATATATATATATATACCGTGTGTGGAGAACCGTACGGTTCGATTTTTTTCCGCGAACCGTTCCACCATATTAGGGGAATATTTAAATTATAAATATTTATATTTACATGCTGGGAAAAAAATGTATAGCCTAAATGCACTGTAAGTCACTTTGGATAAAAGCGACTGCTAAATGCATAAATTTTAATTTAATTCTCCACACACGGTCCGGCACGCGCTAGGACCGCGGTTCAACTTAAATCTGACAACGCATCTGTAATATGGATTGCTATAAATAACACGTAAAACAAACAGGGTTCGGCCAATATATGTTTCTGTTGATGGATGCGCATTCTGGCTTCCCAATACATTACAACAACAGTTACAGCGATGAAAATAAAAAACGTGGACAAACCATTCACTCTTGTTCAATCCGAATGCCGTATGCTGGAATATGAGCATTTATTCCGTCATCACCCGGGTGCTGATAGCACACACGCACAGGTGAGACCTGAACAGCACACGTTGATATCTGTGTTTAAGCTAAACTCATTTAAGCTTTGCCAGTTTAAACATTTAAGAGCCAGAGGACGCGAGCTTACGTGCGCAGTGAGAAGATTTTTTATATATATACACTAGTCAACATTTGAAGTGGATCAAAACATTTCATCAAAGTTGTCCTAAAACCAAAATGCGTTCTTGTCTTAGGACAACTTTGATGAACTTTTTTGATCCACTTCAAATGTTGACTACTGTATATATATATATATATAGTCATGCTGTAAAGAAGTGCACTTATTTTGATATGTTGACTAACATACTAAAGCACATGTAAAGTACTTTATTATAATTTCAAACTGTAGAGTGTTATTCGATATTACATTTAAAACTAACATATTTGAATGTACTAAACTGCAACATCATTAGAAATATACTTAAGTACATGACATAGAAGTTTCAATAACAATGACTCAAAAATTTATTTTAGTTTACCATAAATGCTTGTCAATACATTCGTCAGCACACTTCAATCATATTTCAAAGACAATAGAAGATAATTATGACAATTATAAAATTGCATGTAAAGATACTTTAGTACTTCGTACTTAAGTGGGTCAAAAAAGTACACTTAAGTAACTAATTGCATTTAACATAAAATATAAAACATTTCCATTTAATTAATCAATAATATGAAGTTAAGTGTCCGAAAACATTACATTCAGATTGCACTTATGTATATTATTTTAAAGTATATTTTCGTAGTATGTGCTCATTTAAAAAATATGCTAAAGTGTGTGCTTTGTTTTTAAAAGCGTGCTAAAGACACATTGCTATGCAAGTAGAATAATGCTAATTCTTTACATCTTCAACAAAAACTTAAAGTCGTCTAAATGTTCATGTTCATTTTCACTCTTGTTCCAAGTGTGTGAAAACACTTTTATGATTTCCTCAATCATTTAGCGCAAGTGTTTGCCGATGTATTGCTAGGATTCTCTGTGGACGTTGGTCTCACATACTTAATATAAGAGTGTTTTTTTCCCCTCTGACACATTTTGGCATGGCCTCTACTGTAGCCTATACTCGTCCTCTCCTAGTGTGTGTGTGTGTGTGACCACACTTGTGTGTTCCTGTGTGTGTGTAGGCGTTAAGCCATTCCAGTGCGAAACCTGTCAGAGAAAGTTCTCACGGTCAGACCACCTTAAGACCCACACCCGGACACATACAGGTAAAACAAGTGCGTAAACCTTTTCATTTTTTCATGATTCGCTCCTCTCTTTCCACTCTTTGATGGATAATTGAACTTTAAGAGGTCACTTTCCTTTAGCATTATGTTTTCAGTTTGTATTCGAAAGAGCACACTGAAAAATCATTTGACTGCAGTGGTTCTTAACTAGAGCGATACAATTTTTTTTACTAATATTCACAATTTTCAACTTAATCTGTTACCATTTTTTTATATTTTTTCCATTTTCCTCTTCTAGAGAAAAACACACAACTATACTATTCATAGGTAGTGACCTAATTGATATAATGAAAAAACAAAGATGGAAAATTTGTGACCATATAGATCATAAAACTATTTAAATACATATAATCTATAAATATAATAGATAAAGAAAACAATATAGTAGATCACAAAACAAGCTTTGTATAAATAACAATAGTAATAATTATTAGTACTGAAATATTCATAATGCATGTTTTTATTGTTTTAGTCAAATGATAGTACAGTATTATTGTGTTAAAAAGCAGGACTTAAACAAGTTCTTACCATACAAAGTAAACTAAAATGTCCTAAAAACAAGAATGAATTTCATTAGGATCAATAACTGCGTATGCACAATTATATGCTAAAGTATTAACATAATTAGATTTCTAAATGTCTTGAATTTCAATGAATTTCAATGTTTTTTCATGCTTTTGTGCATCTCATTTCAATAGCATTTACCAAGTGTCATGAATTTCAGTCAATTTATGATAAAGACTGATTGAATGCACAGCCTTAAACATAAATAAATAAAACGTTTTTAAAATGTGTTTTCCCTTTAAAATTGTATCAATTATTTAAATAATTACATTTGATTTATTTTGTTGTTATTATTGCTATTTTTTTATTTATTATTTGTTATCCTACATACAATTATGTGGTTAATTCAATTTCTTTTTTTTTTGCATTTAAAAAATACCTGCAACTACATTTTTTGGGTTACGACCCAGCAGTTGAGAACCACTGCTCTTAGGTGACCTCAATATAATGTAATAACGTAGATATTCCTTATTGCTCTTCAACTTTTAGCTTCGATTCCATTCTAATGTCTATATCCTGTTTATCTCTCTCAGGTGAGAAGCCCTTTAACTGCAGATGGCCAAACTGTCAGAAGAAGTTCGCCAGGTCTGATGAGCTTGTCCGGCACCACAACATGCACCAGAGGAATCTGACCAAGCTACAGCTGGCCATCTGAGTCACGTCCCATTGGCAGTGGGTGCTGGTGCGGCCCCATCCTAAAGCATTAACGGCAGCTTTTTTAAGGAAAAGCAATAGTCTGTTTTCCTTTATAATAGTTCAAGTTATGGTTTGGATATGGGAAACTGACAAGACAAGACAACACTCTCCTTATCTGCATGTGCAGCGCCCCCTAGAGGCAGCTCACAACAGGCCCTAATACACCATTACAGTGGCTTCAACATAAAAGCATGTTTCCGGTGAGGAAACCTTATTTCTTTAATGAGATTTGGAATGTGAAATATTATGTACCTAACAGTTAATGAAGTAGTTTTTAGAGTAATTTATTTTGTTTGTTGTAAATTAAAAAGTAACCGTTTTTTTTCTTTCCTTGTAAAATCATCCAAACTACATCCGTCCTTGGCATGTTGAATCTGGAATTGTGAAACTCTCTCCCCTGAAGTGCTCATCCATGCTGTTTGTAAAAATCCACTCTCTTTGACCAGTTAATTTATGAGTAGGTCACACTGGTTATGTGGCTGGGCGGTTGTGGTCAAGTTGTATATATTAGTTTCAATCCTCAGCCAACACCAAAAAATTAAAATCTAACAGGCAAAATTCTGTTCATGGGAAATGTGACTCTTATAACTAAGTAACGGAAAGAAATGTGAAACGTATTTGGATGGACATGGTTTGTTTTTGTTTTTTAAAATGAGCTTTATTTGTATGTTTGAAATATATATCTGTTATTGACAGTCATTGTTTTAAATAAAATTAAACTCTCGGCATTAACTTGATGAAATGTGAAGCTCCAATTCTGCTCCGAATTTCATTTGTAATGTTCAATTTATTATAATTTTTCTTTTAAATGGAGAAAAATGTTACAGTTGTTTCTTGACAAATACTGTTTCTTTTAGTGTCATTTTTAATTATTGGATTTATTTAGGGTTTATGGGGTTTTAAAAATGTCTTAATTCAAGTTTCAACAAATTAAGACCTAAAATAACTGGACCAGAAGGTCATGGCAGTAAATATTGCGAAATAAAATAAATATCTTCCTCAGGATTTTGGTTTTGTTTGCCAAAACAAATATCTAAGCATTCTTAAATCAATAAATTTACTTTAGATACAAATTGAATTGTTTTCTGAAAAATTATAACAAAATAAAGTGTGTTTATGCTTAAAGAAGAACAAACATCTGTCAATGGCAATGAAAACTTGTTTTCCTTTTAAATTAAAACTTTTTTGACAGATTGTTTTTTTTTCCAGAAGGTCATGGCAGTAAATATTGCGAAATAAAATAAATATCTTCCTCAGGATTTTGGTTTTGTTTGCCAAAACAAATATCTAAGCATTCTTAAATCAATAAATTTACTTTAGATGCAAATTGAATTGTTTTCTGAAAAATTATAACAAAAAGTGTGTTTATGCTTAAAGAAGAACAAACATCTGTCAATGGCAATGAAAACTTGTTTTCCTTTTAAATTAAAACTTTTTTGACAGATTGTTTTTTTTAAATCATAAACTCACTTAATTTTGATACTTAATTTGGATCAATTTCTCACAAAACAAGACTTTCGTTTTGCTTCTTAAGTAAATAAGAAGTAAATGAAGAGATTATTTGCAAAAACAGATAACTTTGTTTTTTTTGTTTTTTCAAAAATCATGTTTTTTTTATTATGCATTTTTATTGTGTTAGTTAGCTGTATTCTCTTAGTTATTTTTTAATCTAATCAAAATAACCCAACTGCAGTATGACTGAGATGAATTGGAACGCACAATGAAAAAACTTGATTTTTGAAAATTGTTAAAAACGGAGTTATCTGCTTTTGCAAATGAACGCTTCAAATATTGATGTAATAATCTTTAGACATTTTCACTGGAAAACAAGACAAGACTGGTTTCTTTTTGGTTTACATTTAAAAATGACATTGACGAACTGTGTTCCATTCAATTTATTCCTTACATTTTCTTTACTTGCTCTTAAAAAGGTGTTATATAGTCTTAAATGTACCTGTGTAAAACCTGCAGAACCCCCATTTATTATATAAATCTGCATTCTTTATTGCAGACCATTTTATATTGTAACTGAATTTAGCTTTTTTCTTTAGAAATGTAAGCTCTTCAAATACTACACATGAACGAGAACAGGTTCAGTTTTCCCTCGCAGTTAAAATTCACTCCGATTCTAAAGAAATCATTTGGAAATCAAGCAGAGGCCTCCCTTCAAACATACATGCTCTACAATAAAACACCCATGCAAATGTACAGCTATCTGCTGATATTTTATCTTTATCTGGAGTCTAGCCTTTTCCATCTTAAACAATTTGCTTGGCCCCCAGTGCGGCGTAAATCAGCGAGCTTCTCCACCCTATTACTCATGCAGAAAAGTCCCGCTATATCTCACAGAGACAGCGCTTAATCTCTGTCCTAGATTTGGTCCGAGTGCCCTTTGAAGGCGAGGTGGCTGCTTTGTGTAACTCCGGCACAGTCCACTTCCAATGGACTCTGTGTGCGTTTCTACTCGCCACTTCAATCCAAAGAATCATAGATCTTCAAAAGAGGGAAGGCGGATGAAACTTTAGCACCGCAACAGCTTGAAATGACCAACGACTAGCAGTCTTGTGTTTGATAGCTGTTGGCCAGGAGGATATTATGGGTCCCAATGATAGACAAAGCCTGCAAATCTTCTGCAATTTTTTTTTTCTTAAGATGACTCGAAAAAGAAAAAAGGGCTAATCGGCAGCCTGTTTTTTGGCACTGATACCACAAGATGAAAGAAACTCACACTCTCACTGAACTCTCTTGTCTGTGATCCTTCCAAACGCTGATAAAAGTTGGACTCCAGTTTTTAGTCTTGAAGTTTCAGGGGCATCTCAGGCCCGTCAAACTCTAAGAAGGAGCGTTAATTTGATGAAGACATGCAGCGGTTGAAGAATAGCTCCAAAATAGAGAGTGTGTTGACGCACGGCAGTCTTTTTCAATTTTTGCTCCATCTTTCTCAAAGCGAGTATTCAAAAGCCTTCTTGGAAAGCTCAGAGTGATTCCATCCATCCATCCAGTACCTTTTCCATAGAAGACAACCTTTTGTGGTTTGCCAAAATAAACAAAAGCTCCTTTGCGTTTAATATCAAATGTAAGTGAAGCTTTAGGTTCAATATTCTAATGTATATTTTAGATTTAGCCTATGTTGTCTAAAGTTGCTCCAGATTTAATTTTATAGTATTTCAGATTAATTTTAACATTACTGATCAAAAGTAGGACAAGCATCTGCATGTGATTTCAAGTATATATTTTACCATATCATATCAGTAAAAAAGAAAAATGAATTAATACTTTTATTCAATAATAATGCATTCAATTGAACAAAAGTAACAGTAAATAGATTTATAATGTTACAAAAGTTTTTTCAGAACTTTCTATTCATCAAAGAATTCTGAAAAATGTATAATGGATCAGACAAAAATATCAACTGAAATGTTTCTTGAGCAGCAAATCAGCATATTAGAATTTCTGAAGAGAATCAGCATATTAGCATGATTTCTGAAGGATCATGTGACACTGAAGACTGGAGTAATGATGCTGAAAATTTAGCTTTGCCATCACAGAAATAAATTACAATTTAAAATATATTTTAAAAATAAAACCGTTATTTTGAATTATAATAATATTTCACAATATTACTGTATTTGATATAAAAAAACTGCAGCCTTGGTGAGCATAATAGACAACTTTACATTATATATTTGTGTGTGTAAATGTCGTTAATACATAATCAGATTCCAAAAATCAAATACTTGTAATTAGAGTATATTACATTTTATAATAATCAGCTCATAATCAGATTACAGTTACTTTTTATGGATTACATATTATGTGTCATACCATTTAGCTTTGACTATATTCACAGTATAGAATAGCCAGGTAAATGTCATGCAAATAAATGTGCAAACCACACTTTTGAATTTAGGTGAAAAAAGCACCTCTCAAGCAATTAGACCATGTATGAAACAAATAATTATGCAAGTTACTAAATGTATGGTTTAATGCATTTAATGTTGTTGATATCAAAAAATGGAATATATTTTTTCAATATGGTACATTTAATGGTAAATTTAAAACAAGTTACATAAAAAAGTCACCTAAAAATCAGAATATACATTACCTGAAATGAGTAACCTATATTACGTTACTAACTACAGTTACTGTAATCAGTAATGGACTACAATTGGTAAGTAATCTACCCAGCTATAATAAAGAGTTTGTATATATATATATATATATATATATATATATATATATGACAAGTTATTTGTTTCAAAACACTTAAAATACCACTTCAAAATGCCACCCGAGAAGCATCTACAAAAAGAGACGAGCTCATAAAAAGTGAAGAGTTTAGGAGGAAAGACATCTGATTCTTCACTGATAAACACTGACCGAGCCCACGACACCTTTATGACCCTCGTGTTGGGCGATCATTCACGGGATAAGATAAGAGAGAGCGGGAGTGATAAATGCTTGGAGGATCTCTGACCCTCTGCCTCACATGTGTGTGTGTTTATCAGGTGGTCGGTGGCCATTATGGGATTAGATGTGGCTCGACGGTGAGGATGTGAGGGCTTACTGGTGTGTAAGTCTGACTACGGTTTGTCATTTAGGATGAACTTTCTTCATTCTTAAGTCATTCTGCCTATATTTTCTCTTTCTGGTAAAGTTTCTTGCATAGATGAACAGCACATGAAATATTTTATGAGAATCATTATAAAATGACAGTTCTGACTCTAAAATCTAATAGGATGAGCCACATTTGATAGCCTAAAAAGAAGCCTTAGTTCTGGAAGTATTTACCCATTCATTTTTATATATATACTGCAAACAAAAAAAAGTGTGTGTGTGTGTGTGGGGGGGGTAATTTCTCTGATTGGGAGTTGTGGGTAATGTAGTTCTTTGCATGGGATTAGGTTATTAAAAACTATTTAAAAATTAAGCTGAAATCACACCAGCTTGTGGCTATAAAAGTAAAAACTTATTAACTTAATATTATTTTATTAAATTAATCAATACTTTTATAATTTTCATTAAAATATTGTTTTATGAAAAAAATCTGACGTTTCTGCACTATATATTCATAATTATAACTTAATTCTATGTTCAGAGGCTATATCTATAACAGAATAATCACAATATTGATTATTATTAATAAATGTGATTATTTTGTTAACGTGTAAAAACAATGTTTTACATTTTTTAAGAGAAGTATTTTTACTGTTTTTCACAAGCAATAAGTCACTTGTTACAGTGATACTACCATGGTTCAGTGTTATTTTAGTATTACTTATACTATTATATACTGCTTTAGAGTTTCAGTTTTCATTTTATTTTTAGTTTAGGTTTTAGTAAATATTTCTATTTATTTTGATCTTTATTTTGGCTTTTAGCCAACTTAAAAGTATTTCAGTTAGTTGCCTAGGCAACATTTCTAATTATTGGTTAAGTTTAATATAAAACGTTTATTTTATTTCAGCTTTTCAATTTTCAATTTCAAAAGTTTCACAATCTATGTAGAAGTACATTACATAATTATCCGTTTTCTTCGCCAAGAACTCCAGCAAACCGAAAAAGTAGATCCAAAAGTCATAAAGTCACAGACAGCATCCAGAGCTGACAGGTGCAGTAGGCAGAAGTGTGTGTGTGTGTGCATGCGTGTGAGTGTGCGAGTGTGTGAGTGTGTGCGTGTGTGTGTGCGTGCGTGTGTGAGTGTGTGCGTGTGAGTGTGTGTGTGCGTGTGTGGGAAACCCCCAGCTGATCCAGGCCTCTAGGGT